AAAGTGTAAAGTGAGGCCCATGACAGCTTAGAGGACTTCATAGGATTCTATCAGCCAGATCCTATCTGAGAGCAAATAAAAAAATGTTGATGACAAGCAACTTTCATGAAGCTGCTTTGTTGAATGTCAACTTCTCTTTACAGTCTATTGTCACTGGTGCCAGCCCTGACACCTGAGGCACAGAACTGCTATCGCATTGTGGCATGCTTTTCTTGCTGGCTCGTATTTTTCTGCATTTTTTCCAGTAAATTCCTGGTGTGCCAAACAAGCTGTGTTAGCAGATTTTGCCCTTGACGCTTAGGTGAGAGGGACTGTGTTGCATAGCATGTACTGGAAGAACAGTGCAGCCGTTAAAAATTAAAAACCAGTCAAGGGTGAAGTAAAGTGAATCTTTTTAAGTGTAACCGTATTTCTGTGCTGTGAAGTGCTTTCTGCTGCTGGGCTTGTAATGTCCAAATTCTTCCATTCAGTCAAAAACCATGGCAGTATCTGTTATTTTGGGGGGCAAAGGCCTGCTGCAGATTTAACAGTGGGCAGTTTACTGTGGGCTAGCTGAGATAGATAGGAGAAAAAAATTTCCTCTTTTACTATTTACATTTCTTGGCCATTTTCTGTGTTAGCGTTGCTGGGAGAGAAATGTGCCATGCCAGCGTCAGACATAGGCTAGACAAGGGCTGTAGTTGCTATAATATTAAATTTTGCCATAAAGCTCCATAAAAAGTTGTTGTGTTTGTGGTAGAGAAAGAAAAAAAGAAACGTCACTCATCAGGACTCTGACGTTGGGAAATAATAGCTAAAAGCAATGAAGAGAGTGTAAGAGCCTTCTAAGCAGGTAAAAAATCTGTGGGTACTCCCCTTTTCACTGCAGATTGGGAAGCATCAGGTGGATATCCAACAAAATGCACGCCAACTCCTTGAAAGCTGGCCTGGCGAGAAAGCTTGCAAGGTGCTTGAGGCAAAAACGCACAGAGGGCCACTTGGTATCTGCAAGCCACAGGCTTCCCTGGCCTATCCTAGAGACGCAGAGGGCATTTAGCTATCCCTGTGGCACCTGGGACTGAGCTTGGTTCAGGAAGTGCTGTGCCTGGGTACCTGGTGCTGCACAGCCCCCAGCTGGGACAGCAGGACACAGTGTGGAGCTGCATTGTGGAGCCGTACTGGTTTGGGCTGTCCTGATGTCAGGAGTCACTCGCTTTGTTACACTGCAGGTTGATTTTTTGCAGTTCTCTTAGAGGTCAAGAAGCGCACAGTGTTTCCTAAGGTGGATGAGAGTGTTTTAGCATGGCTTATGCCACCATATGGGGCTCACGGTTTGCCAGGGCTAGGAAGGCAATGAGGAACCCCAGCACTTACAGCAGACAGCAGAAGACCTGCTCTCTGGTCCCTCTGTGGTAGTGCAGACCTGGCTGCGAGCAGGATTAATGAGCTGTCGTTACAAGCCAGCTCAGTGAGCGCCACACAAAGGTGATTAGCTCAAACACGGTGGACCAAAGGAGCAGGTTATTTTGACATGTGGGACTGAACGCTGTGTTCCCAGAGAGTCTACTGGTGAACTGGCAAAAGAAAAATATCAAGGCAAAAGCCCAAAGTGGGAAGTGATAAGTGAGACATACAACAAAACTAGCACGTGGTAGCACTGGAGCTGCCGCTGCTCACTGCGTACTGGGGCCTTTGACAAAGTGTGTCCTGTGCACAAGGTCACAACAGTCAGTCATGCTAGATCTGTTCTAGTTGCCCTCAGTGACCTTGGCAAGTGACCCAGAGCTGAGGCCAGACAAGGCCTGTGGTATCACAGTGCCATGGATGCCTGTTGTCTGCAGTAGGTACCAGGATTTCCCTTGCAAACCTCAAGGCAGGTGGCTAAGAAAAGCCATGCCAAGCAAGAGCCCAGCTCCGTTCCCCAGGGAAAATGAGGGGGACACAGATAGAGGCAAATGGTGCATCTATCTCTAAGATGTTAAAGAGGTCAGAAGGCCCTTTCCAGCCCCCCACCCCTGGACTTCGACCCATGGCTAGAAGGTTGAACGCCTATAGCAGGTCAGCCAGGACTGCTGTGAGCCCAGGGGCTCTTGGCTCTCAAACAGAGCACTTGAAATTCAAATGACTCCCTCCCTCCCACACCCCCATGAGCTATTGCTGCGGCATCCATCTCCTGCTGGGCAGTTCTCCTCCTCGTGCAAGCTGCTCTGCAGTCAGCACCCACCTCCAGGCCTGGGTGCAGGAGTGGGGCTCTCAGCTCAGGCCTGCATTGGGGCCCAAGTCCTTGGTATATTGGTTATGTTAGGGACCTGCTAACTCAACATATTGGGTCTTGAGGTCCCTTTCTTTGAACTCCATAGCTCTCTAGAAAGTAAATGTCCCCCTCCCCCTATTTTAATTTTAAATTAGGGTTCTCTCCAGTTTGTCAGCAGGCTGCAATGTAAGCAGGTATACCAGGTAAGGCTGGGGGCGGGGGGGACACAGGCATATTCCCAAGCTGAAAATGTATTGGTGACCTGGCACCAGCATTTTGGGACCAGGAGCTCTGAAGAGGGAAGGAATAAGCCAATCCTACAAGACTGCCAGGCCCCAGAGTATACCCTTGAAAGCTAACATTAGGTATTGTTGAGGAACCTGGTGCTTTGATGTTGCCCACACAGGTGCTGGTGCTCTCTCTGTCCGTACAGCTCAGCCAGGCTGCTGGCTGCATGTAGGTGGAGAGCTCAGTGCAGCATTAGGCAGCAGAGCCATGATAAGACAGCTCTTTATTTCAAAGTTTCAGCTATTCAAAACACAAAAAGGACATGCTTGAAATTCATTCCTTCATGCTGAGCCTGGGAGTCTTCCATAACCTTGAAACTTGGCTCTTTTGGTTTCCCCTCTTGCGCTGTGCCCTTGCAGAAATAATCACCAAGACCTGCCGCGCAGGAAGGCGCTGAGGCATCACCCTCTTTTCAGAGGATCGTGTCCATCCCTGCCCCAACCTCCAGCAGCCAGAGCAGCTTAGCGCTGTCTGCAGTCGCAGGCCAGCTGAGACACTGGCGGTGACAGCAAAGAAGCTCCAAGAATTAAGGTGCATTTTGTACATTTTGTGTATCTCCATAGTTTACTGTCGTTCCTGGCACATAATGCCAAGGCTTTGAGCTCTTTTCCCTTGTCGCATGGGCAGTTCAGCCTTGTTACCTTACTTCTGTCCAGGCCCTTGGGCATTTGCTGACTCACTTTGCTTTCCACTGCTCGTAGAGGACCTAGCAGTGGGCCTGAACAGCATGACCGTCCCAGGCACCTCAGCTTTGGCAGCAGCTATTTTTTACTCCAACATCTATGTACTATCTGGATTTTGCTGCGCCAGTCTGCGGAGAGGTGAGAGACTGAAGTAACGTGCATGGGACAAGAAATGCCCTCTGGCCCAGCTCCCTGTGTGCAGCACTGTTCGCAGGAGTGAAGGTATGTTGTTTCTTCACTGGATCCCCCAAAAAATGAGCGAGGCAGAGCCAGGGAAAGTTCTTTGCTAACCCCTGCTAATGACTTAGCTGCTGGGGCTGGGCTCGGTGCTTAGCACACCACCGTCTTCCTCTCCTTTCGCTGGTGGCTGTGTGACTGCGTTACCTCTACAGCCGCTCTCCGCATCTGCCCCCTCGGCCCTTGCCCCAGGCTGGCTGCGGTGGCAGCGTGCGCCACGCCGCACGCGGCGCGTGACCGAAGCAACACGCTGGGGCCGCTCCTGGAGAAGCCAAGGCGGGTTATTCTTGGCACCTGAACTTGGGTCACACGAGAAAAGCACAGTTCACGTGCTCTTGTGTAATTTGGAGAGCGAGAAACTCCCACACCCAGGTCACCTCAGCTTTTCAGGGATTTTTTTTTTTTTTTCTTTCCATAACGGAGTCAGCTGGGGAGAGGCTTTGGATTAGAGGGGTTTGTAGCTTAGCCATTGAACATGTGTAAAATGAGATGTTGTACATGGCGCCTTAACACACATACAGAGCCTGGCTGCAAGAAAGAAAAGTATCTTCTCGCCGTCTCAACTAAACATGCACACGCGCGCGTGCGCGCGCACACACACACACTCCCCTCCATATCTACCCCTCCTCTGCACACCCCATCTTCTCCTTCCCCACACCTGTCTTCTCGCCATTTACATCCATGCCACCCCCTCATACAGCACATGCTTCATTGCCATGTAACAGCAAGTATTTCAGTAGCGTTACTTCCTCCAATTCATATTTTAAAGCAAAAAAGCCTTCCCTCCATCTCTTTATCTTCTAGCTCACCCCTAATAAATATAATCATTTCATCCTGGGAGACCTGAAAACCCATTTCTGGAACTCGTCTGCCAACTAATACAGTAAAACAAACCTATAAATATAAATAATTATGATAAAAAGGCATAAAATGCCACACTCGGGTCAAACATACTCACATAGTGACACTAGCAACAAATAACTACAGGGTGCTGGAAAAAGCTGAATACAGAGTAGCTAGTTCATTGCCCATAACTGTCAGACTCCTAATTTGGACAGGCCATATTTTATTGATAGGCGAGCAAACACAGCAATAATGCATCCCCACCTTTCCTCCTTTGTGAAAAATCCCATCCATCCCCAGGGAAGCAGGAGTGGAAAAAACAGTAGTGTGAACGTGAGGTGAAAGTATAAGACAGAAAGTGCAGTCCCCGTCTTCGCAACACACTTGTTTCTCGCACATCATATGCTAAGTTCAATTTTCCAAAAGCTTTGTTTTATTTTTAAAGGTAACATCTTTATTATTATTATTATATTTATTAGTTTTTATTATTATTATTATGCAGAGATGAGATTTTTTTTCCCCTTTGATCACAGAGCAAACAGTTTGCTTTTGAAAATGTTAATGGAGTCCTGATTTAAAACATTTTTCTTCACTTTTTTTTGTTTTTTTTTTTGTTTGTTTTCTAAAACGTTGAAACAGGCAAGATCTGCGGTTCGATGTCTTCATCCTACACAAAGGAAGATTCTTGAGTTCGGACTCCTAGCCACGACGGGTAGGTCCTGCCTTGCTCCGTTTGTTGTTGTCTCAGTGTGGTTTCGCCAGGTGGGGTGGGTAGGTGGGTGGAGGGGAGCAGTTGGACGAAGGGAGGGTATTTGTCAGCTATGTCGAGTCTTGGTTAACAACTTTGCCTCCGTTCATGGTTGGTGTCCCTGAACTTTTCCTTGAGCGTCCTTGTTTTTCTCCAATTTCATGCAGCGATGGCTCTCTGTACATGCACACTGCAAACAGAAAAGACACCAATTAACAGCCCTGCAGTCACTGAACTTTTTGACCACAATGAGTTATTTCTTTGTACATGAGGCTAAAATCCCTGCTCGCAGTGTGCGTACACACACACACACACACACACAGAGAGAGAGAGAGTCATGCAGTGACCCAGTGGTAGGTGCTGTTACCACGCAGTGCGCCTGCTTTTGCTGCCAGTCAGATTCTCCTTCTGTATCTGTATCCTTCCAAAGGCACAGATAGGATCTCTGCTTCTCGGTGTTCTGTGCTTTATTGTTTTTTAATGATGTATTTATGTATATGAAATGGTCATTCCAGTTCACAGCACTGTGTGTTGTCTCAAGATGCTGGTATGAGCTAATAACAGATCCAAAAATTACCCGGTTGCCAAGCCTTAATCTCTGACAAGAAGCCCTTGAGAATCTTGAATCAAAACTGCTCTTGCATCTGAGTCATCCAAGCCTTCTGGGTGTTAACCTCTGGATCTGGAAATGGTGACTCCAGCCCATTTTGGCTCCTTCAGCCACAAGCTGACATCTGTTCTCAGCACCTCTAATTTTTCCTTTAAATGAACAGACAGCCAGGCAGGGCCAAGCGTGTGAGCAGACCCATGCATTCAGTGACAGCAAGCCAGGAGCCATCACAGCTTGGCATGGTCACCTGGAAGCACCTGAGAATGAGGTAGACGAGAGCACCTTCTCTCCCAGCACTGGCTAAGCAATGTGTGCCTCTAAAAATGTATTTGCAAGAGCACAGAGAGCCTGAGAAGGCAGTGTCTGTCCAAGCCATGGCAAATTCCCATGTCCTGCGTGGCATAAAACATTTACCTAACTAGCCATATGGACTATTTCCTAATGACTGTCCTCATGAGGTGTGCCAGATAAGGAGCACGTGCTGAGAGAGGGCTCAGCATCTCACACCAAAGGGAGTAGCTCTGATGATCTCATTGCGAATGTGGTGGGGTGTATATGTGATTGATTGAAATATAGAGGCACTTCAAGGGCAGGCACACCAGAGATGAGAACTTGAGATAGACCCAGACTGCAAATCTCATGTCTGGAGCTTAGGAAAAATTAGGATGGAAAGAGAAGATTGTGTACTGCTTCATTTTGCAAAGCTGTCACGTCACCAGTCACTGCATAGAGCTCAAACAAGGGGAATAGAGCTCATCATGTTTTAGTTCTGGGTAAGCAACAACAACAAAATTTCAAAATTTATCTGAAGAAATGAAAAAATATCCCATCTCCAGAAATGCAATGTGAGTGCTTATATTTACAACCTTCCCCAATTTGCAAATAAATCCTGCCAATTAGAACCAGGCTCCAAATGACATTATTGCTCAGCATTTTACTCCTAGCTAGATAAACAGTTATAGCAGTGGGCAACAGTACAGGACAGAGATGAAGTTCAGCCAACTGTGTATTAATAGGCGGGATATTGCATTGAATATATGAGCAGTGAAAAAAATATTATTTTTTCCCCATAGAGCATCTTTCATCCACGGCGCTCAAAGCACTTTAAACACACACATTAGCTGGGCCTCCCAATATCTGTGAGGTAAGTACTGTGCTGTAAGCTATTACCGCTACCAGAGCCATGCTTTGATAGAAATGAGAAAACAGAGAGACTAAATGACTTGTCCCATGTGTCCAGGCCAGAAAGCCAGGACTGCCCATGAGCTGCCCAGATTAGCTCTGCTGTCTGAACACTGCAAGCAAAGTGTAGCGCACAGAGGCAACAGAAGGAAAAGGGCTCGCACGTCCCCTCTCAGCTGCCCCCTGCACTTTAGGAGGTGTCACTCCACAACCTTGTGATAATGTATTTGCCTGTTGTGGCAAAGTGCCTCTCAGCACTACAGCCTTAAGTCAGCAGAGAGGTTCTTTGGCAGAGGAGTTGGAAGTGCCCTAACGCTGGAGAATAGGAGCTTGAAGAACAGTATGGAAAAGGTTAACTGAGAAAAACTTGTGCTCATGTTCCCTTATGATTTCTTAGCCTAAGTCTCACAGCTTTTTGATGTCACTGAGGTTTCTGAGGATGCACAGCATTTCTGTGATAGACCTTAATCTCTAACAAACAGTCATGTCTGCACTGCAGAGTTGGGCATTTGTGCAGGTGTTTCTCCAGGGCTCCCACCACTACATACCTCAAGTCCAGCACTGCCTTCAACCTGACCGCTATATGCCCACATTGGAGCTGTGGGAGGGAGCTGGGTTAGTTCTTTTTCACCAGGCAGCTGCACGTTTTAACCTCATCTCACCACAGCCTATCTCTAATTCCCTGTATGCCCAGAAGGGTGTTTTTTTTTTTTTTTTTAAAAAAAAAAAGGACATTTAAGCCAGTAAGAGTTTTGGGAGCAATATTGGCTTAGGAATATTGGCAGCTTCTTCACAGTGCCTAGTTCACAGCAGCAGCATATGGGTGGTGGGGCACAAGAGCTCCCACAGCTCATACTCCAGGCATTTGGGAAACTAAGGCATTGCTTTGCAGGAAGGAGAGGGAGAAGCAGTGGTCTGGAGGCAACGTGCAAGTCTGTAGGAGAGGGTGCAGGAACTCTGGTATGGCAGATCTTTGCCCCATATCTGCAACTTCACCAAGCTGAGCTATGTGCTTAAACACAAGGGCTGAAGAGCCAAGAGCCTGCGTGCTCCCATTCCTCAGTTGGCCATTGCTCCCTGCCTCTCACCGTGGCCTTTGGGCAAAAAATGTTGAGTTACTAACAAGGCCCACAGAGTATTGAATATAAATCACGCTACAGAAATAAACAACTTTTGCAGCTAAAAATTAAGGAAACCCTGTTCCAAGCAAGCAACTAGGACAGGAATTAGACGTTTATCTTCCAGTCTAGTGAATGAAACAAGTATTGACATGGGGCACGGCTGGAGGCAGCTGAGATGGGGCTTTTCAGACGGAACTATCAAAGCATCAGCACAAGACGGGCTGTGCCAACAGACTATGCCAGAAAATCTACAGCAGCATGGGACAAGTGTATTTTCAGTACTTAGGCACACCTACAGTATCGGTGTACACAGTATTTATATGGTGTCACACACTGAATAGTGCCTGGATATTCTCCTACACAACAGCGCTGTGTGCATGTGCTGAGCTATGCCCAGCACGCTGCAGAGGTTCCGAACCTCTTGGTGCACCTCCTGGTGTCTGCACCAAGACACCCATGTGCATGCGGGCACACAGACACACGTGTGTGTATATGCACAGACAGATGCATACATGTGGCATTTTAAGGAGAGTGTGACATGTTGTGCAACACAAGGTCTTGGATTTCAATTTGTATTGAAGAAGCTTGACTGTGACTCACACACAGGGATAGCAGTCATGGACGGAGGGATGTTGGGGGTGGGGAGGAGGGTGATCTGCTTGTAAATGGACCATTGTGAGGGCCCAGCAGATTTTTCTTCCCAGCATTAAACCAAATGCTTTCTTTTTCAGGATGACCTGCACTCACTGACAGGTCTGTGTGGGTCCCTGTGCGTGCATGTGGAGACACTATGCCTGTCAACTGCATCGAGGTAAGCTAGCAGTAGTGTGGCAGTCAGCATGCCCAGATGCTTGGGAGGTCTGCTTCTATATACACAGCACAAGGCAGCTTTGGAAGGATGAGCAAATTTGGCTAGAACAAGGCTTCCCTCCCTGCTTTTCCTTGCTTCTCCCACCCACCCACACCCACACAGCAAGCCAAATACAGCCTGTACTGTCTGTAAACCAAGCTAATGCTTTGGAGCTTCAATCAGATAATCAGCTCTCATGTCCCAGATTCTAATCAACATATACATATTCATGCTTTAATTGGAATGTGCCATTAGCGTTATCTGCTGTACAGCCATGGGCGAACAGGAGCAGAGCTGTGCCCATGACTGCATCTTGTGTTTTTTTTTTTCAATTCTCTGCTTGCCTGCTATCCAGGAGTGCCTAACAGTCACGCGCCCAAACAAATTTGCCAGCAGTTAGGCAGGAGGACTGGAGGTACAAGCAAGAGAGAAGGGGAAGGTGTGTGTGAAGGGCTCAGCACACACCCAAGGCATGGAGGGCACTGCCTGTCAGCTGGGAGTAGTTGAATCTCCTGCCTATGTGCTGGCACAGGATCTCAGCCTCATTTCTGCTTCCCAAGCAAGGCACTGGCATGCCACCCACGTGGGCCCAATCCAGGTGAGCGTCTCTGTGCCCGCTGCAGTGGTGAAACCAAAATCACCCTGTGATGTTTCCTTAGGGAGTAGCTGAGTTTGGGAAACATGCACCATTTTGCAGTCTGATCCTAGAGTTTCTTGCTTGGCAGCATTACAAACTGACAAGATTCAGCAGAGGCAACCAACTACTTCTCTCTAGAATATGGGACAAAGCTTATGAGAGGACACTGAAAATATCCCATCCATCCTGCTTCACTCCTGGCTTTCCCTGCCCACACCCCGGGAATTACGAGGAACCAAATTTTACCAAGTTGTCATTTTGGAGGTAGGTAGGTCATCAGCCCTACAGGATTGCAAAGTGCCCTGGTTCCACTGTGCACCAGTGTCTGGGAAGGGCTCGGCACACACCCTCTAGCAGGCAACCCAGGACACAAGTCTGCTTCTCGTGATAGACGCCACAGCTCAGGGTGTCAGTGGCTGCAGCAGCAAGAGGCAATGGCTATTGCTTTAGCTAATGCTTCAGTGGAGAGAATTAATTGTTTAAGCAGCAGCTAGGGGCAGGAGGGAGCAAGTGATTATGCACCCTTGTTTTCTGCCTCTAATTACTCTGTTCTAAACCCATTCCCAGCTGATGCATTTCAGAGACATTTGAGCTTGTGTCTGTCTGGAGGCTAAATGTACAGGATGCTGCCAGATGGAATCACACTTGGTTCAGGTGAGAAACAGAGCATAGTATGACAAAAAGCCAAGGAAATGCATGGCTAAAATTAGGAGTTCTAGTACATGAACAAGTGAGTTAATGTGGGATAGACAACACACCAAAGCCTGTCCACTGCAAGACAGACTCATAACAGCTGTGTTTAACAAAAGACTGATAAGAAGAGTTTTTTTTTTTTTTTTTTTTAAAAAAACCACTGCTTCAGACTCTACGGATAAAGGTGATGCTTATAAAGCATCTTCAGTAGGCCTACCACATCTTCCTACTCAACAGTGTCTTTGCACTTCTTTGCAACATCTGAGGCCTCTGCTTTAGTAAATCTGGGATGTTGTTGCCACAGGGAAATACATTGGGAAAAATCTAGGGGCTGCCATGCTGTTCCTTGCACTCTAATATCCATCAGTGGTAGTAAATGGAACAGACTAGTCATCACCAGGGCACCTTCACATCCGACATCATCCCAAGTCACAAGGCCTGAAACACCATGAATTTGGAGTTAGGGGGCAACTCTGCTGACTAGGATGGAGGAAGAGTTGTCTTCCACTTTCTGTGGCTAGATTACCGATCCCAAATACATTCTGATTTGGGTCAGATGAGAAGTGAAATGTAGCTCTTTTGGGAGAGCAAGTCTGGAAATGATGTCTTGAAGGAGAAGCAAATATAATATATATAATTAATATTAATAATAAAATAATTAATAACAGAGCACATCCACAATAAGCATGCATACATTGTACGCATAATAGTGAATGCAAAAGTCTTTCATTGTTTAAGCTGGGGAGAGCTGTTTAAACGAATAACAAGCATCATGGTTTGTCCACCACTAATCACTACAGACACTTAAAGAGACTGAAATTGCTTTAAAAGATTGCTTGGTGTCCAAGTGACAATTACACTCAAGCTAATTTGTCGTGCAGCCTGGTCCAATCTATATGTCTGCACTTTAAAGGCTCATTTAGCTTGAATGAGCAGTGATCAGAAATAAAATATCAAAAGAAATGTGTTGCATATGTGTGTTTTTAATCAAAGCTGGTACCTGACAGTACATTAACTAGTGCCTGCCAGGCTCTTTGCCTGGGCTTTGCCTGTGCGCCCATGGGAGATGGACTTAACATTTTCCCTGTTATTACTCAGTAAGTTTTTCATGCTTTTATATTGATTAAGCTTGATATTATTTCCAAAAACAAACAAACAAAAAATCCTACCTACCAAAAAAAACTGTCCTACCAACACAACACCAAAACCTTTCTAGTTTGTGTATGGTGATTTTTCACACAGAACAGCTCCAGTTTGCTGACCCTCTGCAAATCAACACATTCTGTAATATTAGCATAACATACAACTGTAGGTGCTATTAAAAGCCACAGATACATAGATACACATATGCATACACAAATGGAAAGCAAAGAGAGTAAAAACTATCCCTGAATTGCTGTATGAGCAATCTGGACTTTTCTGTATTTCCTGTTCCTGCAAACACTTTCTTCACTAAGCTGCTGCATAATTTTTCTGCACATGGTGAACAACCAGGAAGTTTCATCTCAGAGATAATTGCCACTGAAGTGGTGGGTGAAGTGATTCCTCGCGATGTATGTTGCACCTCTATTTCCCAAGGGACTAGATTCATCCTTGCATACATTACTGTGTCAGCCATCATGTCGCAGTATTAATGCTCATGGTGGTACCTGAACAAAAGGAAAGCTGGGTGCATAATGCAGCTGGAGGCTGCAAAATACTGGCCTGAAAAAAGCAGCAAAGCCCACATGCTGGGGCATGCCACAGCATTCAACAGAACAGACATGCAAATGTAGTAGGCGAGCGGTTTGAATGCTCCTTAGAGTCATGACAGAGCGAAAGATGCGCTCAAAACAGGGAAGGAATTGCCCCTTTTCTCTAACATCTTATTGCAAGCTCTGCTCACGGAGACTTTGATGGATGCAGCGCAGACAAGTCACGTGGAGCTGGGCCCGTTTTACTCCAACCCTCCCCACAACCTTCTGCTACCTACGATGCATCTGAGGCTTGGGAACAGAGTCCTCCGTCTGGAGTCACAGTCCCAGACAGCTGAATGCTTTGGGAAGCTGACACGTGCCTTGGCTTGGGAGACTGCCAGCTCTTTGATGCAGCAGCACGCACAGAGGCTGACTGCAAAGCCTGTGGAGGAGGGAAGGGGTGGAGGAGCCCTTAATTTGGCTGCCAACTTCCAAAGCGCTCACTTGCTCGGGAGGTTATGTGACAGCTGTGATTGAAGCAAGCGTGGGAGGACGCAACTGCAGGAAAGGGAAGCTCTTGGGTTGGGCTGGGTTTTTCAAAATGAAAGCCACAGTGGTATTTGCTGCAATGAGCCTGTGCTGTGGGTCAAGCACCTCTGCTACGGCAAGACTTTCAGCTAGGAGAGCCACAGGAACGTCCTAGTTAAATGCATGAAAAAGGCAACTATTGAGCCATTCAACAGACACCAAGCGCACGACATCAGAAAAGAAGCCTGTGTTCAAAGGATCTCACTGATCAGTATCAATACATGGGCAGGCAGCAAATACCAGAAGAAGCTAGGAAACACAGCTGTGAAAGCTATTATTTGCAAAAGACTCGCATCCCAGCCAAGGCAGGAGAGAAGAAGACAGAAGAGAAGCGGGTGACAAACCTCATGCCCTAAATAGGCCCTGTCCCTTAGCAAAACACAAAGTGGGCTCTAGCGAGACATTCTCCCTAATGCCTCAAATAATCAAAAAGCTATTGGAAAAAAAAAAAAAAACACCACACAGGACAAGCCGATTCCTGGCCACTCTCTGCTCGTCCCTCACCCAAGGGTGCCCCCCAGCAGATCAGGGATGGTCAGAAAGCCAAGAGGGCAGAGGAGAGGAATGGACTGCAGGTTAGACAGAGATGCCACTCTAGGGGGCCAAATGAGTATGTCTCCATTTTTACTTATTTTGGGGAACAAAAAGTAGTGCTTTTTTTTCACGCAACAGAAAAAGAGCTTGGAGTTTTCTTGTTTTTGAAATCAAGTTAGTACCTGACGAGTACTAGGGTCATCACACTGGAGACTATGGCTCTCCATTTATCCAGCGGTCAGCTCTTAAAAAGCAAAATCCCCTAGCATGAGCATGTGGCACACTTCAGTAGCGTGTAGTCGGCTGTAGCAGGAGGGCAAAAGTTCAGCTCAACTTCTTTCACTGACGTGTCATACTATGATGGATGCAGCTGGGATGACACCATGTCATCTAATTTTGGACCTCTATGGTGAAGGTATCTCTACCCCCAGTGACTGACTTACTAAGCTCTCTTTATAGACAGTGAAAGACATGGGTGTAAGTCATTTTTTTCTTAGGGTAGACATATAAAATAAGTAAGTCCACAACTGTGCTGGTAGAACACATTTCTCTCCCATTACTATAAGCAGAGTCTCACCGTCTAAAGTCAGGCAAGGTAATTCCTACCTGTACTGACTCAAAATGGGACTGGAAACCCACTGAATGATGTTGAGAAAAACTCATCACAGAAAACATCACAGTATGATCTTTTCTGACTCTAATTCCTTCTAAACTTTTGACCTAGATGTAAAACACAGCTGGAGGGGTGTTTTCCCTTCCCAGCAACTTCTCATGTGGCAGTGCTTTTGAATTCATCCTTTTATACTCCAAAGCTGAGAATTCCCTTTGGGATGGTATGCAGATACAGGAAGGAAAGTGGATGAAACGCTAATAATGTAGCCCGGCACCGCTCTGAACTTTTGCAACTACTGTCCTTGCTTCTTGATCTTGCTCCCCAAAACCTGCACCCCCCTTCCCCCCC